AGCCTGCAGGCGTCCAAGAGACCAGGAGCAGCCAAGGATTAGAAAAAATAACGGCCATCGGAGAGAAATTGAGCTTTGGTGTGTGGAGAACCAGTGGAGAACAGAGCAGCTGTCTTGGTGGGTGACCGGCCTTAGCATGTTAGCTAACGTCAGTCACATCACAACATTGTAAAGTTAGCAATCATATATCAGGCTATAACTAAAGTGGTATTGATAATATAGTAACGTTACTGGCAGGACTGTTGATACTGATCCATAACAGAGCTCACCATGATTACAAATGGTGAAATGCAATGTAAAATTACCGAAAAAATACCAGCTCACTAAATCACAACCGCTCAAACCAACTAGAAACTACTACCGCGGATTGGGCAGAGAACGAGTCCGAGAAAGTTAACTCCCCCATGTGACGTAATATGACGCGTTTGACGTATGACGTTAAAAAAAAGCAGTTTTTAGTAGCAGAGCTCAAAACGGCTCATTTTCCTCTGAATTCCTGCCCCTATGTCTTGTAAAACATATCAAATCCTGCATTAACATTTTTAATTGTAATTTTCAGGCAAGGTTAAGCATAAATGTAGTAAAAAAAAAAACCTGCAAGTTGCTCTTTAAAGTGTTCTATCTAAAGAAAGTCGCTTTGCCTTGCCATACTTGTTGTAAATTATACAATCCTTTATTTGTACACTGGAAGGCATTTTCCTTGCTTTCTATGTTGGAGACATTTTGATACACATTGATACAAATGCATACCTTCCTTTTAAAGTCCAGACTGTTAAGCATAGCCTGCAGGGTCGTTACTTCCTGTTTCATCATCTCAGGGTTCTGTCGAGCATCTGACGATTCTGACACACACACACACACACACACACACACACACATATACACACACACACACACACCGACAGATATTTTAGAGAAAAAATGATTGTGGTGCACGCTGTCTTATTTTAATGCACAGAAGTAAGAAATAAGTTTGCTTTCACAGGGACCACCTCGTGCCTGCAGGGTCTTGTAGCGGAAATCGAAATCATCCTGCATGTCCTCGATGGATTTTACAGCCTGGTCCATCAGCTGCACACAGACAGGCAGACATTTAAACATCATTCCATTGGGGGAACTTTATATTTGCTCTGATGTTGCCTGAAACGTGTGTGTGTCAGTTACCTGCACGCTGCCCCTGATGATGGCCACTCTGTTGTCCATGTTCTTCTGCCTCTCGAAGGCCACAGAGTTCTGCAGTGATCTCTCCAGTGGACCCTGTTGGAGAGCATTATTTTCTTCGGAATGTTTTTTGAAAGATTTATTTCAAAAATAGGCCTAATCTGTTCTTCAATCACTTATATTTATTCTTGTAATCAAGGATTCAGCATAACACTTTGCTCCCGGAACACATCTGATGACATGGCCTGATACTTCAAACGTAAGCACAAAGCAGCATGGAACAGTCTAACCCAGCCTAACAACTTTGTGAGGCTGCACTCAGTGGCAGCGCCAGGGTATGGCTGGGGTAGGCTACAGCCATACCAAGAAATGGCTTAGCCCCACCTTAGCCCCACCATGAAAAATGATGTTAAAGTAAGCAAAATAAAGTACGCCAACTCGCGCGGAGTAAATTGCACAGACAGCAGTTAGTATTTGATTTCAGAAGCCACTTGTCTGTAAATACCGAAGACCAGAAACGGTTTTGAAAACTTTTGTCGCGTAGTGATCGTCTTCTACAATAGAGCATCTTTGATAATGTCTTCTGGCCAATCAGAATCACGATAACGGCGTGGTGTTGTTGCAGGAAGCTCCAGGTCGCCCTTTATTATTTACTAAAAGACAAATGTACCTTTTTATTTCATACAGTTCAATTTGGATTGAGACAGGGAAATAATCTAAACCTCACGCGTGGCGTTTCACTGTCAAGGGGGGGCGATATAGCGTGTATGTAATTACATTGCAAATACTGATTTGAGCCCCACCACTGTGTGAGTTAGCCCTACCATAGATTACCCAACAAAAATACTCTGGAGCCGCCACTGGCTGCACTCATGCTAACATTATCACAATGACAATGTATATTACCGTTATCACCATCTTGTGCTGTGTCTCAATATGGTTTCCTCTGTACTTGTAGTGTTTTCGTCCATTGCATCCAGGCACTCTTAGCGGTGAAATGGTGAGAGTGAAACGCTGGAATGGTAAATGGACTCTACCAGAGATGGGGTCGTTACTAAAAAAAAGTAATGTATTAGGCTACATATTACTTTAAAAAAAAGTAATATATGACATTACTTCGTTACTCTCTACATAAAGTAACTCGTTACTTTACTCGTTACTTTACTCGCAGGGACGGCCC